CTGTCAGCACCTGCAGCAACCACACTCACGCAGCATTATTGATCAGCGTGGACAAGGGCTTTTAACAGCAATAATACTGATTGTGTGTTTGACCGTGGAAAGCGACAGAAGGGCGAGAACATTGCCAACTCAATTTTCTTGTTGGAAGCCAACTCTCTATCTCTGAATATTGAATTGCAATCATTGCCAGATAGGCATGGGTATTTGAGCAGTCGAGAACATGTTGGATTTGTGCTGCACATCACCTACTCAGGAGCAGCGGGTGGCTTCCAGACCAACAACGATCGTGCTGCAATTGTGTTCTAATTTGTGGAGGTCATGTCTGAGGCAGTTCTGGCTCTAGAGGCGCCCTTGCAGATTTCCTTACCCAGACTGGATGCTAACGTCAAGATCGACACATTAGCAGCCGTCAAGTGTTGGAAGAATTGTCACAGCCACAAAAATGACCAGAATTCCCCAACGTCAAGGAGCACAGCATGCAGCTACTTAGAAATTGCAATGGGTCAGTCTTGTGCCGAGGCAAAGCAGACCAACGCAAGCCATTCTCCAGCATTGATGCACATGATGAGTGCAAGGTAATATCTCCTTGTCTGTCTGATTCCTTCAAACAGCATTGCGCCATTGAGCATTATGATGAGAAGGCATATGAGTTTCCTGTTCTAGCCTTACGATTTTCATCACAATTATTCACGATCAGTTGGGGTAGTATATGTATGGCACTGGCATTGATATTACCGTACCCTTCTTCAACCATATGACTGAGTTCTACAAAGCATTTGAGGAAATGTCAGTCAGCGACACTATGGTTTTATGGCCAGCATTATTTAATTGGATAGTAAGTATGATGGATGTTGGAGCATGAATAAGGCCAATGTCTTATGGGGGAGAGTATGTCATGGCCCTGTCATAGTGATACTTGTGTGCGTGCTGGGCCTATTGGGTTGATGTGCTTCGTTCGGCTGTTGGGCCTCGGCCAGTACGTGTGCGTGTGTGGCTATCGGCAGATATATGCCATGGTCTGTAACTGAATGAAAAACAAACAAGAAACCTTTGAACTCGTCTTCTTCCCGGTTACGTTTTTTTTTAACGCAATGGGAGGAACTCTGCCTTTCAATTAAGATAGGGAAAAATTCCCGGTTACGTTTTCTTCCTCGCATGTTCTTGCTGTTCTTCTGATTCTTGATTTTATCTTTCGGATCCTTCTCAATTTCTTGCTGTGTTCCTTCTCAATTCCAAGGATCGTGACACTGTAGTCCATGTACCACATATGTGGGCGTAGTTGTACAAACTATATAGAGCTATAATCTACACACATATAGCCACAACCTTAATTCTAGCATTGTGCCTGAGCATCCTTGATGATTAGATTGTATCTTCTCTTCAATCTCCACCTTGAGAGTGTGTATGTGTCCACTTAGAGCCATTGAATTAGGGAGTAAGGAGCGTGCAGATGCTCCCAAGTGATGTACCTTAGGACTTGACGTGGGTTATAGTCCTAATTATGCTTTTGTGGTGTGGGATTTTTTAATGTAAAATACAGCAGGGCAGGTCCCATTGTAGGATTTTATTAAAAACATAGATCAGTTGGTTAGGTTCATTGTGGTGGAATCTGCCTACCCGGGTCCTCGACTTGGCACGGGTGCTCGTATTTTCCTGGATTTATTTCAGGATTTAACGGCGCTATGCTTTCAGTGATAGGTAACGTCCCCGTCGACAGCGAGGCGCCAGTGGTGACTTCGTGAATCTCGAGATCTGTCGGCTCAGTCCTTCAAAGGTGCTCATAGGGGTAGGGTTTGCGTACGTGTGTTCATAAGGATGAGTGTGCATGCGTGTTATGGGCATCTATGTTGTACCGTGTAATTTAAAAAAAAGGAGAGCTTTGCCCAACCAAAGCAAAAGAACGGTGGACGCAGGCTCGAGGAGAGCTGCAAAGCTAGGGAAGAGAGAGTCTATACAAACAAGGAACTCATAACATTTGTCTTCACAAAGTCTATAGGCTTGTAACGTGGTGTTGACACCCAAAAATGTCCCATGGTGGTTTTTGGCACCATGAACAAGTTATAAACATCATGGGCATATTAGAGGTCAAACGGTGCGACAAAATACTGAACAAAACGCGCGGAGAAGACGGCGAGCCACCGGCGAGCCGTCGGCGAGCTGAGCCAGTCGGCTAGGCCGGCTCCCCCCTTCCAGTCGGCTTAGCTAAGTGCCCAAGTCGGCTAAGCCGACTGGACCTTGATCCAACCCACGGGGGCTGACCCAACCCGCAAAAGTCGGCTTAGCCGACTCCCCCTGTCGGCTAAGCCTACTCGTCACTGGAAAACTGACTTGGTTAAGACTAAAAGTCGGTTTTAGGTAATTTTTAACGTGGGAAACCTGGAGATTACGATTTTGACTTGTTTCCTACTGAGATAAGACCACACCCCTCTATAAATACGAGAGGTTCACGGCCGATTGAGTTCCCATCTATCCAATCATCAAAAAACTAATCTATCAACCCTTTACCCCTCTCTCAACCTCTCCTGCTGTTCGTTGAGTTTTCTAGCGAGATTCAGCGGCATCCTAGGCGGCCTTGCTGATCCTAGGAGATCCTCCACGTGCTCCTCCCCTACGGGTCTTCCCGGGAGAAGTTCGGGAGTTTTTTTAACCAAGAACGGGCTCTACATCGGCCTTATCGGTCTCTAGATCGGTTTGGTCGATTACGCTGTGTTCTTGCTGCATTGCAGGTTGTGTGCAACCTCTTTGGGCGACCAAGGCCCTTGCTGGTGTGTCGGCTTGAGGTCATCTTCAATGCCAACACCTGGTCTCTTCACAGAAGAGACGCTTCCATGAATCAAAGGATGGACGGCGCCTATCAAAGATGAAGTTGTTTCTTTGCTTCCAAATTGGCCAAGCAACAATGACGAAGATTTCCACGAAGAAAGAGTGTTGGAACTGCTGTTTTGCTTGTTTCATCATTTGGAAAAAAATCTCCTTCAAAGTTCCAATGAATGCCTAAGTGCTGCCAACATTGTTGCTGCAGAGAATACAATTATAGTTGCTGCCTTCTAGATTATGCTTCTCCCTTTTTAAGATGTTCCTTGTGTTTGGCCTATCCATAAGAAGGAGCCATGAGAAGACTCTGAGCTTGTTGCAACACTTAGAGTCTCAAATCCAAATAAAGGGTGCTGGGAGTTGAATATTCTTCTAGGGGAACTTCTAGAAATTTGAGGATGTGGATATGTTGTCCCCTCGTATGTACTGCCATGAGTCTTGTGTGTTCTGCTAAACTTTGCTAGTCTGAATGCATTTTTGGAGACCGACGATATTCTTGATAAGCTTGTTCTGATAATGGGAGGTGAAATTGAGAATCCAGACTATTGTTTGTGAGAATACTGTTTACTCGCTAATTAATGTGAACGAAACCTACAACCCCACTCCCATCATTCCATAAGTCGAGATAGATGGGTGACCATGAAGATGAAATTGATGGCTTGGAAGTGGGGTTGTAGGTTTATATTGTCTAGTATCTCTGACTTTTTAACAATTTTTATGGTTTATTATCATTGTTTGAAGCGTGCGTGTTTCATGACAAGTATAACATATATTCTCAATAGGAGCATCTAATTAGTAGTAATAATAAGATAAGATGGCTTGGCACGTACACAAGTACTTGCGATGACAAGTTCGAGTATACTTTTATAAGTAGCAATAACCAAACTAGCATATTATTGTCAGCAAGTATTCACTCTAGCTAGGAAGACGACACGGCTGCTTTGGTTTTGATCAAGGTAGTACTAAAACTCAGTATAATCTATCAATCGCGTACGTTGATCTGGGTCCGCGTATGAGCTGGCGGATGGATATATAGCAAGAGACGCGGAAACCAAGTACATCATTGGGTTCAATTTGTCACTACTACACAAATTTGTGGCAACGGCTCCCTTTTTTTTGAGAGAGCCGCCCCCTACAAATAGTTGTCAAATGAGTCGTCCTTACAAATAGGTTTGTAGGGGTGACCGGTGTTATTAGCCGTCTCTACAAATGACCCAATTTGTAGGGGCGACTCTATATCCAGCCACCCCTATAAATCAGATTTGTAGGGGCGGCTCCATATTGAATTGCCCCTACAAATAGACGCCGAGTATTAAAAATTAAGTACTAAAATTCAAATTTTGTAAACAATCTTGGATGGAGAAACAACTAAAATGAAAGTTGTAGATCTCCACAAGTTACGAAACTTTGTAGTTGACAACTTTTTGATTTGAAATCATCTTGTCAAGGAAAACTATGTTTGAATTTTCAAAAATTTAAAATTTTAATTTTTTAAACGACCTCGGGTGGACAAACAATAAAAATGAAAGTTGTAGATCTTGAAAAGTTATGAAACTTTGTAGTTGATAACTTTCTCATTTGAAATCATCTTGTCATGGAAAACTACGTTCGAATTTCTTAAATTTGAAATTCAAATTTTACAAGTGACCTCGAACGGAGAAACTACTAAAATAAAAGTTATATATCTCGAAAAGTTATAAAACTTTATAGTTGACAACTTTTTCATTTGAATTAGTTTAGGGCCTCAAACAATTAATTTATGCTCAGTTTTGTATAATACGTGGAGAACCAAAATGAATTGTAGACACAAGTGATCGTGAGGTGCAGTGGTAGAGGAGTTCGTGCGCGAGGGAGAAGTTGCGAGTACGAATCCTGGCCGACGCAAAGTGTGCAAAAATTGTGAAAAAATACTGCAACCATAGAGTGGGTGTGTGGTTGCCGATGAGGACCTTCTCGGATTAAAAAAATTGCTATTTTTGTCTCTTTTTCGTGATTTCTGAAAATTGATTTATAGGGACGGCTCAATATTCAATTACTTATACAAATTGATTTGTAGAAGCGGTTGGCCAACCGTCCCTATAAATCGATGATTTATAATCACGATTTAATAAGAATGGCTACAAAAACCAATGCTACGGATCATCTGGAGCCGCCCCTACCAATTCAATCTGGCTTAGTGTGTGTACCTGTTCGACGACAACGAACTTGCGGGCTGGGTCCCTGGCGAGCGCGTCCACCACGGAGTCGAGGGTGTTCATCACGCACGCGCCCTGCCACCAACATCCACGACGTGAGAACCACGAAGATGGAGGGCCGGAGCATGGCGGCGCAGGATGCCACGCCATGGCTAGCTATATGGTGTCGTGTTACCTGGATGGAGTTGTTGGATCCGACGTAGTACTGGTCGACGTTCTTGAGCCACCCGACGTCGTCGTGCGAGTGCGGCACCAGATGCACGTTCAGCTTGTTCCCCACCACCGTGGCCCCATGCGCCGTCGCGTTGGATGCCACCGCGAACGCCCTCGCCGCGGACGCCTCCCTTGCCGTCGTCGCAATCACTGCCAGCAGTAGCAGCACCAGAAGCGCCGGCGCCATGGTTGGCTGGTCACCGGTGGCTTTGCCCGGCCCCGACGAGCGGATCGGTCGGTCAGTGGATTGGGAATGCGGGCACCCAGGCGTTTTTGGTTAAAATTAAATTAATCGCTGGTTGGCGTTTTGTTTTCCGCCGGAGCCGGATGTACGGGGCTCTCGCGGCCTCCCGCATCAGGGGTTGGCTCCGTCAAAATCAATGCATGGCTGTGGTTGACCAACCTTTGCAAAATGAGCCTATTGGGACGCAGGCTGAACCGCTGAAGCGAGGGCGAGTACTGGACGTGGTCAAAGACATCCCAGGACAGTTGTGGCGTCACGTCATCTCGTTATATATATTACTCCATGCTCCCATGCATTCGAATTTACAAGTCATTTTAATTTTTCTGTCGTACGTACTTATATATCTAGACATATATCATATTTAAGTATATAATAAAAACTATATAAATAAAATCATCGGACCATGGGGTATGGTCGGCCAGGGCAGCATCGGACCATACGTGGTAACTATTCACCCGAAAGGCCACGCCTGTCAGTACGGGGAGAAGTTCAAAGGCACCGTCCGACCGTGGTCGTTGGTCCGAAGCTAAGCATCGGCCTAGTCCAATGATGAAAAACAGGTGGGCATCGATGGTCCAATGTGCATGGGACCCAGGGGCTTGGGACCATAAGTTCAAGTGACCGTTGGCGCGTTTCAACTACTAGTTTACACTACTGCATAAAGCTTAACTGAGGCAGGGTAAAAAGGCTTAACCGTGATGGGCAAGCCTACCGTCTCGGTCAAAAGGTCATGGTTAATTATGGTCTCCAACCACCTTGGTTAACCAAGGTGATCGTCATAAACCAACTGCCTCGGTTAATTCATATTAACCGAGGCGGTCGTCATAAACCAACCGTCTCGGTTAATTCATATTAAACGAGGCGGTTGCCTTAAGCAGCCCGCCTCAGTTAAGATTTTAACCGAGGAGGTTGTCTAAAGTCGGTCGCCTCGGTTAAACCATTAAACGAGGCGACTGTTGTTAATTGTTCCCCTCTGTTAATTATTTCTAGATTAAAAAATGTTTTTTCAAATTTGAATTTTAATTTGAAGCTAGTGTCAGACCAGCCATGGCGAGCCTTTAGCATCAGCATCTGGAGGTTAAAATACAGCGCCGTCCACTGCTTCGGACAGTCCTTATAGAGGAGGATCAATTGCCGCCTGCTTCATCTCTCTGAAATTCTCCAGTTACCTCGGGCTCCCAAACAGAACGTCGTCGTGTTCCATACGGTTAGCAAGTCCCTCAAAAGGCTCCACATCCTCAGGCTACATCACACAAGCCGGCTCATCGCCATCCCCATTGCCGCCGCCGTCGTCGGCCATGTCTTGGAGCAGATCATCCATCGTGATGTAATCACGATCTGCATTGTCGCCAGTAGCAGTGCCGTGTCCGCCGTCCACTACTGCTGAGAGTTGTTGTTCTGCACTCACCACTGCCGCCATTGTCGATGAATTTCCTCCAGATGCACTGGCACTTGGATCCTCTACTTCGCCGTAAAACTTCCAGACGGTGTAATCCTTGATGAAACCATACCGGATCAAGTGAGATTGCACCACGTTATCTTCGTGGGTTATTCATGCAACTATTACATGGACAAATGGTGTGTTTCTTGCTTAGCCTCAGGCGATGCCTTTTCACAGCGGCAACAAATTGTCTCACATGATCTAGGTAAGAAGGATCCATCCTCGATGTCTTAGACATCCATTCTCTGTCCAGGACCACGAAACCTTGCACACACAAATAGCGAAAATGACGCATATAAGCAGAGCAATATGGAAAAAGTAGCCGGGTAGCTTTAGATCTGATTTCTCTCTCCTTCATATAGATCTAGATCTAGATCTTGAGAAAAAGCACCCAAATCATGAAAAGGAGAAAAGAATGAGGGTTGAAGAGCGAGAATCAACCTCTTGCGGTGCCCCCCTTCAATAAATTCAAGGGCAAAACCTCTCCCCTTAGATAATGGCCAATTTATGGGGTTTTGAGGTCAAAACTTTCAAAAATGGAGGAGTCGTGGGAAAGAAGGGGTGGGTGCGACTGCATTTATAGTCCAGGCTTAACCGAGGCGGGCACTATAAGAAAACCGCCTCGGTTAATCCCCTGTTAACCGAGGTGTTTGCCCTAACCCAACCGCCTCGGTTAATGTAGATTAACCGAGGTGGTTGTCGAGGCGGTTGCTTTAGGGCAACCACCTCGGTTAATCTATATTAACAGAGGCGGTTGGGTTACATTGTCCGTCTCAGTTAAGTATTAACCGAGGCGTTTGCTAGCACGGCTACTCTACCTCGAATAATAGAGACGGGCAACCAGGCCACCCGCCTCGGAGCCCTTTTTGAAAACGCCTCACATAAGTTTTAATCTGAGTAGAGGGCATCGGACCATGGCCATTGGTCCGATGAGGGCGCATCAGCCGGTTCGATGCCCCCGACCAGAGTGCAGCAATATAAGGATCCCAATGGCTCTTTGGTTCATGGGGTGTTACAAATAGATGGTGGTTGGCTCATGACCGGCTCTCTTGGCACTCCAACATGATATACACCCTTGTGATCTTGTGCAAACACCTCCCACTCATCTCTTTGCCTATTGCTTGATCCAAATTAAGATTGGGAGTGATTCTAGTGCATTTGCATTGAGTTCTTGCATCTAGTTGGACTAGAGATCATGTGAGTTGTGGTTTTCTTGTTACTCTTGGTATTTGCCGCCACCTAGATGGCTTGGAGCAGCGATGGATCGTTGAGCGGCTATTGGTGATTGTTGCCGACTTCGATCAAGCAATTGTGCTCATCATCGTGTGAGATCATGAAGAGCAACTCTAGTGGAATCATGGCTAGTTGGAGTGCACCATTTGAGTGGTTCTTGCGGCACATTTTGGTGGGTCTAGCTTGTTACGCTAGTTAGCTCGCGAACCATCAAGTGGGGACTCACCACAATGAGGACATAGGTTGCCGCCAAGCAACCAAACCTCAGGGATATATCTTGTGTCATCACTTGCCTCGTTTGGTTTGCCTACTATCACACTCTCACATTTTCATTCATAACATTGCTTGTGTGTTAGTTGTGTGCCTAGTCTAGAGTAGTGGTATTTGTTGTAGTAGCTAGTTGTAATTGCTTTTTGGTACCTCTTACTAGTTCTTGCTAGCTGTATAGCTTGTGTGTTGTTGTAACTTAGACTAGAAATCAAGCTACTAGTATTGTTTAGGGGGGCTTGCTTCAAGTGAATTAGAGCTAGTGCAAAGTAGAAGCTATTAGGGCCTCATATTATTCTAACCAAGTTTGAACTAGTATTGTGCTTTTGTAGAAAATTTTTATAGGCTATTCACTCCCCTCTAGCCATCTAGATCCTATCACATGAGTTTTATATGCGTAACATGTCTCTTGTCTTGTGGTGTGTAGGTGTTGAGCGTTGAGACAGTCGACGACAATGGTGGAGGTTAAATGAGTCCATGAGTGATGGTCTGGGTGCTATGAAGGTCGGACGTGGAGGCTTGGCTGGAGGATGGGTTGTAGATGGCTAGCACTTGGCGATGTCGATGAGCAAATGTACATGCGAGGATGGAGGTGAAGACAGTGTTGGCCGAAGTCAAGATGACGATTGACCAAGTCAAGGCAGGGCCACGAGCACTTGGTGATCAAGCGGTCGAGGAGAAGCGAGACATGCGACGACATCGTGGAGGAGGCATAGCAGACATGTGACTCCGAGTGGTTTGGTGGTTTGGGCCTCAAAACCGTGGGTGATATGTTTGCCAGGTTTGGGCCTCAGAACCTAGGGAGGATCTTAGGGCAACACGTGGCATCATCGAAGAACTTGCATTGAGGCGAAGCGTCTTCATGAAGGGTCTGTGGTGGTTCGATGCAAGGAACTCAACTTGGACCATTTAGTCCCCTGTGATTAAATGGCTCAAAAAAATATCTAGGGGTATTCTTGGAATATGTAATAGCCCTATAAATCAGGGTAGGGGCTGCCCAAGACAGTGATGTCTCTTCCACCTAAGTTTTAGTTCCTTAGGCTAGCCAAGTTCATAACGGTGAGAGAAGATTAACAGTAGAGAGGGTGAGCACCTATTGCTTCTAGTTTTCCAAACTATAAGAGGGAGGATGTAGGGTGGAGGCTAGACCTGACCTTGTAAACTTGTTCTCATGCTTAATAGATCAATTTGTCCTTTGAAATCTTGAGTTTGATCTTTGCCTCTCTCTTTCCCGATGTAGTTTTGATGATTTCTTTGTTTTATTTTATCTGAGCTTTTGGGGATCTTTGGTGTTGATATTCTGGTGCTATGACATCCTGAGAACATATCTACTTTCTAGTTTGAACAGATTTCCCATGAGCAACCAGAAATCAACTTTGGTGGATTTTGGAGAAAACCCCATTTTTGGAGAGCCTCTTTTAGATCTATTTTGGTTCCTTGAGTTAATTAATGTGGCCAACATATCAGCTATAATGTTGAACAATAATAGAGATAACGGATTTTCTTATCGAAGGACTTTTTTGTTTGAAAATATGCCCCAACATTATCGTTAACATTAATCGCCACACTTCCTCCTAAGTTGAAAGACTGGACCCAAGTTATCCACTTAGGTGAAAAAACTTTCATGCAAAGAGTTTGCAAAAGGAATGGCCACTTAACTTCATCATATGCTTTCTCAAAATCTATTTTTAAGATGACCCCATTAAGTATTTTACGGTGCAATTCATTTATGGTTTCATGCAAAATAATGACACCCTCTAGGATGTTACGTCATTGCATGAAAGTTGTTTGTGTCAGACTAAACATATCACTGCTACCGAATCAATTCTAAAAATTTTGAAGCTGACATTGAGTAAGCATATTGGTCTGTACTGTTGGATCCAGTTTGCTTCTTTGATCATTGGAATGAGAGTTATCACCCCAAAGTTATGGCTAACAAGTAGTAAATTTCCGAGATGGAAGTCCCGAAACATGTTCATCAAGTCTTGTTTGATGACATCCC